AAAATAAAAAGCCAGCAGTGGGATTCGAACCCACCGACCAAGGATGTGAAAACCGCGACCTTAACCATTGGGCCATTTCATAGAAGTTGCTTTGCGCTGTTCGTATGAAGGAGATAACAAAACCATTAACTCTACTGTACAGAATGTTTCTGCGTATGCTTCTTGACTAAAAACGCTACGATAGTGCATCACGTAACAAAAGACACATACAAAGAAACAATGGTCGTCAACATTAAATGTGCTCCCTGACAGCTTCTCCTTTAGTAGTTTTGAATTCGCGCATTGATATGGGCAAGTCCCTGGACCACGTCTGGACACCAGTCTAGCTACACGCATGATCTCTTTCATAAAATTGAGTTAATAACACGCCATTTTTTTAAATCTTTGTTTTTTTTGGGGGGGGGCTGTTTCTTTCGTTTTCTTTACTTATACAAAATGAGAGCCGAAGGTTGAATCGGGACCTCAATAGTTCTGCTAAATAACATGTTATGTGATGTGGTGGACCTGATCTGTGGTGTAGTTCTTCAGACACATTTCCCTGCCTTGTGAATGGTGCCTCTTACAGGAAACTCCTTCTCTATAAAGATGTAGTTGAACAGATAGCACTTTTCCTGTCAAGTTGTAATTCATTTTTAAAATGTGGACCTTAAAGTTGTCGTATTTTCAGTTGTGTGAAATGTTAATGTGAATACATCAGTGGGCTTCTTCCTATCAATACTATCTTGCGTAAAGGGTTTCACCAGGGGTAGCATTACAGTTGTGCCATGAATATGGAGGTTCTCGTAGCATGAACATAAAAAGGCAATAAAACACCCATTGAAAATCGTGAAACAAACTTGACAGTAAAGTTAAGTTAGACAGAAAGGTGCTCTTTGACGGTTTACATTAAAAGAAATTGTTGTAGCTATCCTTTAAATAAGAAGCTGCAAATTCAGATTGTCAAAATGCAACTTGATGCAAAATAGGTTGTCACTGAATATTCAAATTTTATAAATCACATGATCACGTCATCGTTCATGCCATTTCATGACAGTCTCGTCTGAGTACAAGCCAGTGTTGAAGCAAAGGTTTTGATTCTCAAGGCCAAGACTTTGACCCACAATCCTTGCGTCCAAGACTTAACCCTGAAGGTCAAGGCCCTGCAGTGTAAAGTTACTACTACGCCTAGAAAACATGTCACATCATATCTTGACTTAAGTATCGTCGGACTGGCAGTTGTTCTCAATGCCACCCTCTTTATTATTTTATTACAGTGACATAAAATCGTCGCTTGTCCCGATTCTGTAATACAGTATAATGACGTTTTGTCGTGCAGTTGCATCGTATTATCCTGCCGTCGTGTGGCACTTTCGTGTCCGATGGAGCTTTGCGTCATGCCGCTTGTTGTGCTGTTGCGTTGTGCCGTTGTGATTACGTCACGCGTACAATAAGTGTGTAAAAGGCATTAGCGCGAGAACCAGCGCGTGAACCAACACGCGCGCGTACTCCATTCGTTTGCACTGCACTTTCTGGTTCACAGTGACGTCACTTTAGTACTCAGACTTGTGGAAATAGACGCGCCCTTACAGACGTATCTTACAGACGTCGGCCTGTTCCCAAGTACAGACTGATTAATAAGCCAGCAAGTCACTTTTAAAGGTTTTATTACTTAAAAGCCTGAATAAATACAAGGTATATCATAGAAATATGTCAAAACTCATCCATAGCTAACAGCATTCATATCTTCATACATATGATCGTGGAATGGATTTCGGAATGTTCAAATAGCAATTTATCCCTAAATTTCACTGTTTTGTCAGAATTAGGCGAGAAAGAACTTAATACTTAATTGAAGACTGTTTCACCTTGTTTGAAGATCTTCCATTTATGATTTGTTCATGTGCTGTTTACATTACGACCCTGGGGACAATATGGGGAACTTGTCAACCACAACATATTCCTGATTTTAAAGAGCACCTCTAAGGAAAAAACAGGTTTTCTCTGATTTTATCTGTTCAAATAAATATGGAAGCATCCAAATCGAATGCAGTGTCATTTGTCTTCAGAGCTCAACTATAACAAGCTAAAAGTGGTTTTTTTCTGTTCCAGCCAAGATACGAATTCTGAATGTAGATTGCGTCATTCTGGGAAAGCAGAGAAAACGAGGGCAACCCTCACCCCGTGTTCGTTGTGGATAAACGCTCTACACGCCAAATAATGCATGTAGCCATAGTCCCCGGGGGAAACAGGACTTTTCTCAGTAAGGTTTAGTGCAATGTGCATAATGTATTCTTGGAAGTTAAAAGAAAATCAGAGTGAATTACAGGCGCAACAAATCATTCTGGAATTTACTATTTCTGTGTGTCTACCCTTGGCTTCACTGCTATATTTACAGCTTCAAGAATAACTTACACCTGCTCTACGTTTAATTCAGAAATATCCTACACAACAAAGCAGAGGGTCACGTACAGGGGTCGGTTAATGCAAAATCCCCCTCAGTTTGGGGAAAGTACTTTAGAGGAAACGCTTTGCTGAATTATTCTCAGAAGTGAGCATCTCAAACGATAACTTTAATTAGCGTAACTTGAACATGTCCAAAAACAAGAAATGACTTTTTCAACATCGAAGCATGTCTGCAAAGGGAAGCTGAATGTTGACGTGTAATTGATTGTGCTGCTGTTGAAAAGAAAGCCCAATGAGATTGGCTTTTTAAAATTTCCTTTTAAAAAACCTTTCCGAATACTTTCACCACGTATAGCTTTTAAGCTCAAACACCCTTCTGCAACTAGGTTTAATGCTGATACAAAATGTTTCACTTGCAATACTCAAGTCAATTTACTTTTAGCTCAACAAACTACAAAAAAGTAAAACCTTAGGAACTGGTCTATGCACTGTACCAAATACAAGCCTGTCAACTTTCTACAGTCAAGCATTTAGGAAAATAGTTGTTGCAAAGCTTTTTTTACACTTAGTCTACACCTCGCACTTTTACAAGTATTAACCATCAATTCATGTGTGTTTAGAGACAGTCAATCTTGGAGTAGATCTCTTGTTCATTTGTTGTTGGTGAACTAACCTGAATACTCCAACTATTATATAGATTTTCAAACAACTTAATGGTTCCAAAAAACAGCAACATGAACCCTCCAAGATGGCTCCTACAGCATATGATTACATACTCTTACGTAGCCCCTCAATTTCACAAGTGTGCATAAAAACAATCAATACTGACACCAGTGCTTACCTTCAAATTCAATACTGAAGTATTTAAAATATTTTGAAAGGCGAGGCTTTAGCAAGCCACAAATCTTCCAAATCTCCATGTACAAAATTGGTTTTGAATTTTTCAAAAATACATGTATTGGTAAATACAATAGAGAACTTTACAGAGTACACAAAATGTGCTTTTATGTTGAATTACCGAAGGTTAGAGGCACCTTTTAGACTGAAATGTTTAGTTGGATAACCAGCCCAAACTCTGACCTTCCAAAAACTACTCAACAAGAACAAGACTGAATACAATCGCTGATTTAATTAGCATCTCCCATTCTACACGAGAAAAAAGAGGGGGAGGGGTTATTTTTCCTTTAAAAAAATCTTCTGGCTCACTCTCAAATTCTTAGAAAAAGCTGAGCAGAATACTCAAGGAGAGGATACTCATGATGCAAAGAAATTGGATCTAAGATGGACACATCTTACAGGAAAGCTTACAGAGAACAGACACAAAGTAATGACATACTGTCTGCTTCACCAGCCATTTTTTGTCATCAACAACTGCAGTTAGCACAATTCGTCTATACAGCTGGTAATTTCATTTGAAATCTGCAACAATTCACTGTCTCCATCTATAGATACCATTCAGAATGAATACAATGCTGGATAAAGTAAGAGAAAGATATACACACACTTTCAACAAACAATTCGACAAAAAATAAAGGATCTACGCAATGCAATTCACTGCAGTCCTTGGAAGTGCACTTTTTTGTTTCAAATAACCTCATTTCCAATTTCACTATAATCAGTGTCACTTTTACTGTCCCTTTTTTTGAGGGGGGAAAGTTATGCTTTGCAACTTTCCCAATTCATGAGCAAAATTGAGTTGTCATTCCAGTAAAAAATCTGCTTAATTTTGTATTTATTTTTCCACAAAAACACTGGATCTATTAATAAACTTAAACGCAAAAGTTTGTCACTTTTTTTCTATACATTGAAGGAGAATGTAAGAAAACTTTGTTTCCTGGATCCTTTAACCTCAATAAATAATGGCTGATCCCAAAACAATAAGAGTAAATTTAGCAGGAAATGCTTAAAACAAAAATCACATGAACCTGTTGATAACCTCTGCTTTCAATACCTTGTTTGGAAACCTTTTGACAAACTTTGATAGATATGTCTGAGGCAGCCCCTTCTACAAATGTGCATCTGATTAAGTTTTATGACGGTCTACCCATGGTGTAGTGGATTCAATAGGAGTATTGCGTTGCTGGTGTCTCCATGGTATCTCAGAGGCTGTTTTTGGTATTTAAATTTAGTTACAACGAAGGCACAAAAGGTTACCTTGGACCTATCCCAGTGATACAAAACTCTTGCCCTCTGAGGACGCTTTAACGCATAACCTCTTTATATCAAAGAAGCGAGTTGAACATTACACGGACAGAAATCACAAAGCATATCTGTATTTCATAGCGAATGGCACTTGGACGGCAATCAGAAGAGTTTGGAAAAAAATGTAACCGAGGGAAAAACCTTTTGAAATTGAGTTCTATAAGGTTGCCGGACACTGTCTTGATTTCAACACCTCTCTGGAGAAATGTACAGAAACCACTGTGCCCTACAAAACAGCCAAAGAGCAAAATCTGTTGGCAGTCAACTTGAATAAGAAAACAAATAGGACAACCACAGAAAAAATTTCCCCCGACAAGCACATCACTTGATATGCAGTTAATCCTAATCATTTCTCAAATAAAGGCTTTGCGTGGTAGCCATCTTGCTGGCCAGTGCTTTTGTTCCACAGGGAAACCTCCTTTGTGCATACCCTGTAGAACAAAAGCACTGGCCTATAAAATGGCAGCCATGCAAACCCTCTATTCTGGGTGGTCAGGGATCTTACATACTCTACTATTTAAAAAGGCTTTCTTTACGACAGTCTTCTTTGAAGACATACGGTACTTCCATAAGAGCACTTCAGGTAACTCCATCATACAGATATATACACACATAGAAAAGTACCTGTTGAGAACTTTCAATACAAAAAAAAAAAAAAAACCAGTATCAAAACTTTTAAAATATGCAAAATAGATCATCTCTACTAGAAATCAGTCGTATGTACACATGTACTTCCAATTTCACTTTGGAAGTATAGTACAAATCCTGTGTTGCATAGTTCACAAGGATGTATGTACTCAAGCATCCGTCCACAAATATCTACATCGTTCACTTTTCCTAATCAGTGCCTCATCTAGCCATCTCGCCACCTGTCCCATGGACAGGTACCAACAATTTGGGATGGGTAGTTCATGCTTGCTTTAGTACAACATTATCACATCCGGGTGCAAATCTTTGACACCGGCGAATAAATCTTTACAGTTCAGTCCACAACATTGGGTACAATGGAAATATCTGGCCACCCACTGATCCGTCACCTTGGCTCCACCCTGCTGTTGACTCCACCCTGCCTCATCCTAGGGATGGTGTACAGTATCTCTACTGATCCACCTCCATCTTGGCCACGCCCTCCTGCTCACACTATGCCCCACTCCAAATCATCCATTGTATAGCGCATAACACCCCCACTGATCCATCACCCTGGCTCCATCCCGCTGTTGACTCCACCCTGCCTCATCTCTGAGGTAGTATTCTTCATCTCTACTGATCCACCTTCCAACTTGGCCACGCCCTCCTGCTCACACTATGCCCCACCCTAAATCATCTATTGTATAGCGCATAACACCCCCACTGATCCATCACCCTGGCTCCATCCCGCTGTTGACTCCACCCTGCCTCATCTCTGAGGTAGTATTCTCCGTCTCTACTGATCCATCTCCATCTTGGCCACGCCCTCCTGCTCACACTATGCCCCACTCCAAATCATCCATTGTATAGCGCATAACACCCCCACTGATCCATGACCCTGGCTCCGTCCCGCTGTGGACTCCACCCTGCCTCATCTCTGAGGTAGTATTCTCCGTCTCTACTGATCCACCTCCATCTTGGCCACGCCCTCCTGCTCCTCCTCGTTCTCCTCATATTCCTCCTCCAGCTCCCCTTCTGTCTCATCCCACTGTATGAAGTCCCACAAATCCTGCACTAGACCAGCTGTGGAGGACAGTCGAACACAAGCACCATTCAAGATCTACCCTTTGGCAAGAATACTTATGAAATCACAACATTTTTCAGCACCTTCCAGTTTGTACTCCTTCTTTATGCTAGATGTTGGAAGAAACCTTTGGACTGCCATTCTAAGGGCATTTCAAGGCTTTTGTTTCTATTTCAATGTAGCATTTTTGTATGCAGCATTTTTACAGTGAGCGATATCCTAGTTTATAACTTGTCAAGAAAATTCTGGAATAAAAAAAGAATACCTGATTTGTCAGGAAATAGCTGCCAAAAATTACCCGAAATGCTGCACTTCAAAAGCTACGCCTGCAAAAACAGGAATCTTTTCATTTCATTTTAGGCAGCAACATCTGAACACTTCTTTCCCTCAAGATGAAGGAAAGGCTTACTTTCATTGTCAGTCACACCGGGGAGCCTGTGGTACCGTTTGCTTAGACTGGTGACGGCGGCCACGTAGAACTTCTCCACATCCAGCCGGTGATCGGCAAAGTGGCGGTCGTGCATGGCCAGACAGTGAAGCAGCAGCAAGCATTCATGCAGGACGTGCCTCCTAAGATGGCAAGCGAGAGAAAAGAGCATGGCACAAAAATCATTGCTACCATCAGGAATATTGCAGATTGAGGTGGAAAAATGCCGGAGCATTTTACACCTCATTTGGAGACATACTTTGGGGGAAACCAGTAACACATAAAAATGCATCATGTTTACAACGTAGAAGTGACAAAACGAGGAGTTTCTACTGATAATGGGTGCCGTGTTCCCACTGGAACATTTGCAATTGGTTCCAACGATCACTGACCAGTACTGAGTAGGACGCTGGGAGACCATCATTGCCAGCGTGACGTCCAATATCCTCTTGAGCATCAAGACCACTGCATTGACCAGCTGCAAAGAAACATGGGAACATACAGGTGCCAATCACAAATAAACGTACAAAATCATTGTCACTCCAGCTTACAAGAATTCCTATTATTTATGTACTGACTGTCAGTGAGGGCGCTAGTAAGCCGATATGCAACTGGGGATATGCAACTTTGTCTTTAACCTCAATGACAAATTTCTCTAAAGGAGACGACCTCAGGTTCAAAAAAGTCTGAATGCCATCCATCAATGTGTTTAACATCAATATGCAATCTGCAGTAGCAGCTGCTTTACAGTCTTGCATGTCCCCAGAAATGTCGAGTGAGATCCCCCTAGGCCATGGAGCGTGTATTGGGGAACTAGGCTAGCTCAGTTGTCATACAAAAGTCTTCTCCTGATCTGTTTTCTGCAACCCCGTGCGGCTGCCTGCTGGCTCATCAAATAAGAAATTCACCAAATTTTCACAACCCTGAAAAACGCTTCAGCTTTCCAAAATTAATATTTAATTTCCTTTTATTACCGGACACAAAGCCAGCTTTGGAAAAAAAACAAAACAGAAATGCTGGCTGATTTTCCCATCACGCTTTACCTCCACACTACACTGGCAATCCGTGTCCAGCAGCAGGGTAGCGCCCTGGTGATGAGTTCCTATGATGCCCCACAGCAATGAGATTACCTTCAACCAAGGATGAAAAAAATTCATCACAAATCCAGTCAGAAATTTGTCATCCCATTATTACGGGCCAGTCGCAAGCCATCCAGGACAATCGAGTGAACTGAGACAAAGGTGTGTCTTCATCACTGCCCACCCTGTTACCAATGACATGCCTTATGACTCGACCTGCGACTGATTTACAGTAAAAGTCCGTACATAGATACAATCCTTAGGTGATTGGCTAATAGTAGACACAATTTTCTATTTGCTAAGGTCTCATTTTAAGCATATACCATAGACAACATGTTTTAACAGATAAGCTGCTTTGGTATGTTCCTTTGGCTTTATCTGCATGCTGAATACACTGAGATGAGACAGGTAGTTGTCCACATTCTAATGATTATAATGACTTCAGAGTTTTCAGGGCAAATTAGAGACAGATGAATCCTTTTTTCACAATGTTGACAAGCACCTTGACGGTGAGCTGGACTTTCTGAGGATTCCTGCAGCCCAGAGATCCGTGGACTCCGCACTGGTAGCACTGCAGCAGGAGGCAGGAGTCTGGCAAATGAAAATCAACAAATGAGAAAATCCAACTCTGAATCCACCTGATCCCTTCTCAATCCAAGAGTAAGTTACCACTCTAAACTGCAACTGCAGTGAGAGGCATCAGGATCTCACCATAAACAAGGAAGAATTAAAACAGACTGGCAATTCTAAGGAGCCATAGTTCCTGATGACTTCCAACTCATTTTGTTAGGCTGGGCCAAATTTAGAACCCAGAA